ATATTACAATTCTTTTTGTTTAACAAAGTGAATGAATTTGTGTTTTGTGCTATATATCATTGTAATTTATGAACTAAAAAGAAATTATTAAATCTGAAACATTCGTAAAATATACTTACTTTAAATAAGTTGTATTGTTGTTGTTTTTTTTAAAATGAAGTCACACTTTTATAGTTTTCATTTTTTTATGATTTTTTTAACAAAACTATGACTAAATTTTGTAAACATGAACTGAATTTTTTTAAATCATATTTTTAACTAATGAATAAACAAGATTAGACTATGAATGAATTTAATTTCTTTCTGTAATTTCCTTAAAATTAATTTTTTCAGAAAAAAAAACAATAAATTTAAATAAAAAATGGATCAAAAATTACTAAAATGTGGATAAATTCAAAAAAATATTATCATGAATAGATTCTGAAAAATACAAAAAAGTGGTATACTGACGCGAATTCCAATTTTTATATTCACGACTCTTCAAATTGCAAAGTTGGAATGTTTACGGCGACATTGTGTAAATAACAAAAACCTACAACTTTTGCAGAAAACAATTTTCGCTAGAAAGTCACAGTAAGTCGGAAATTGAAAAAAAAAAGTTTTTTTTCTACGCTTTGCGTCCCCCCATTTCTCGGGGGTAGCTGGGCATGTGGGGCATTTTACGAATTTCTATTCCTTACATACCTGCTAACATTTTAAAATCATAAAACTTCAAGTTTTCAATTTTTTTTTCTCCTAACAAATATCATCGTCATCATCATGACAAATATTGACATTAATATTTATACGATACTAACGACACTCAATTGTTTTGCCTTCCCGGAACCTCTCCACTAACACTTAAACTTTATGGTATGGTATTAAAGTTCACATTGACTTTTAAGTATTATTATGAATCTTTTGTATGGGTGCATAGAAAAGTGTTGTTTTTAGACTTTTTCAGGCAATTTTTTAAATTTTTCTCCGTAAGAACCATCCTCGTACTTCAAGGAATATTCTAAAAAAAGAATTAGCAAAATCGGTTCAGCTGCTCTCGAGATTTGAGCTTAGCAACACATTCAGCGATTCATTTTTAAATTACAGATATGGCCAATACATAGAATCACAAAAACAAATCTATCCCTCGGGAACCGTATATTTTTCCGGGATAAAAAGTAGCCTATGTATTATTGCAGACTATAATCTATCTCTGTGCCAAAGATCAGCTCCGTTCAGCCGTTATATATACATTTTGTCTTTGGTTTTGTTTAGATTATTTCAATTAAACCATTTTTATGGTAAAGTCTGTGTACGTTTATTTAGAAAACTATAGTTATCGTGAAGAAGCTTGACTTGAATGAGATTAAAAGATAGAATTTGCCTCTTTTTGCATTCGTATAGACTAAAATATCAAATAATATTACCCCTATTGTTATGAGCTGCTGTTATTATTGGATTGTTGTATACAATTTTAATCTCTCCATTGTAGAATATAAGCCTCTTTATCGCATATCGTGACCGCATAATATGTCGAGTGCTTGTACATACTCGATATTACAATGCGTGGTATCTGATAAGATCTCTATCGACTTTAAAATGTTATTTCAATTTGGGTTAGCTTCGGAATTTACTAATAGGTTCATGGCTAACAGTTGATTTAATTTGATTTTGAATTATTAATAATCTCCGCCCTCGAAAAAATAAGTTTTAAAAATAATAAAAATAAGAACCATGGCACCTATACCGCGTTCATTGGCATCGTTCAACACGCTCTTGGACAACAAGACTCATTGGGTCCCATTCATTGACAAGTGGTCAACTTTAGTTTTTGAGTTGCTGAGGTACCTATGCTGAGAATATTGAATAACCCTGTTATTAAACGGGGTTTTTCGATATTCTCAGCATACTCTCAGAACCCAAGTAGTATTTACTTTTGTTTTGTTTACTGTATATTATGTTTGTAATAATTTATAATGTATAATCTAGTTAGTGTAAGTGGCGCTGCCGTTATAATTGGATGTAAAATAAATAAATAAATGATCGTACTAATTAGGTACCTATATTAAATGCCCTTAGAACGAATGATACATTTTAATTTCGCTGAAAACATTCAATATAATATGGAATTTCCGTAATTAATTAATGATGTCATAGAGATTTCATTACATACTCGTAGTTCAAACAGTGATATTGGAGTCTTAAGTCTTGAGATTGTCTCGAAACTTAATATTCTCCTTTCTACATTTCTTTACTTATTAGTCAAGTCATTTATTTTTTGTAATTTTAAGGTAAAAAACAATCAGGAGGCGAAAAACAAAGGTATAAGCTTTAAGAGGTAAAATTGCATCAAGGGTTGAGATATCTACGGTACCTACCGTATTATGAATATTTCCATGTGTCATGTATTTGAAGGATTTCTGTCACAGCCTATTCAAGTTGCTGCTGTTGAATGTGTATCGATTATGTATTAAGTCGTATCAATATCAAATAAACCAACAAGCAACAAGCAAACTACGCTTTGTATTGTGAGAGTATAGAACTCAAACAGACAGACTATTAGTAACTGTTCTACAATATAATACAAAGCAATGAAATACAAAATTCGCTCTTAGTTTTCGTGATTCTAATGAAAGCTTAGTACATTTTTCGTGCTTAAGAAACACTCATAATCCTCCTTCAATTTTTTACAAACTCAATAAATTATGTCAAGTACTCGTTAAAATGATGAGATCACAAAACATAAGAGTTTAAAGAGTTTACGTTACCTGTTTCATTTTTTTTAAATCTGAAAACGCGCCTCATCAAATGCAAAGTGGAAATGAAGGTAATAACATCTAATAAATTAGGGACTTTAAATTATGAAAGATGGAAGGGTTTATCTTATCCCTTGTGAAATTCTTAAAGCTTTCTACTAAGCTTTTAGTTTAGCAATCTTGCATAAATCTTAAATTGAAATAGATTCTTATCTTTAACATTAAAGGCACTTTTGGTATTATACTACTAATGTAATAGACAAAGCGTGGTTTTATTAAATAGCATTTACTTACTTACATACAAAATATTATATTTAATCTATCTATCTACCTATATATATATATATATATATATATATATATATATATATATATATAAATCCCTATTTCCCTTGGTCACGCCATCACACGTAAACGGCTGGACCGGTTTAACAATTTTTTTTTGTTGTGTTTGTCATTGTCAGGAGAAGGTTCTTATGAACGAAAAATTTATAAAATTGCGCGGTAAGTTATAAATTTTAAGAATACTTATTTAAGAATACTTAACAACCATATTAAAATTCATATGGCTAACGCTGGGTAATAATTATTTATATATATTTAAAACGTACCTAGCGACGAACCCGAGCGAAGCGAGGGTGAGCCGCTAGTTACATATATATTTTTATCTTATAAATAAAAACGAATAGCTAAATGTGTTGCTAAGCGTCAAACTCGAGAACGGTTTTAATTGGTCCATTTTTTTTTTCAAATATTCGTTGAAATCCAAGGAAGATTCTTATAAAGAGAACAATTGGAAAAACACGGAAAGACGTAAAAATCCACATTTGTCTTTTTCCTTATTTCTACTTTATAATTATGAACGCCACCTTAAATATAAACTACTTGAATGCATTTTTAGATTTAATAGAAATCACACTGTAATACAGCATTAAACTCATCATACCTATATGTATATTTAAATTTAATATTATATACTTTATAGCCTATCTATACCATACTAACCGTTAAAACGTAACTAGGGACGAATCCGAGAGAAGCGCTAGTCGCTAGTTTTAAATAAAATATTATTTATTTTAACATATGCCATGCATCGCTCATGTGATAGTTTCTGACACACCATGAACGTCCAATCGGTAGCACAAGTTATGGCGGATAATTTGAGATTAATTAATTTGTACAAAACCTACGAGCTGTAATCTTGTGGCAAGAATTTATGACTAGAAGAATGTGTAGTGACTTTACTAAAGTGATTATTTAGTTTTTCACCTTTGAAGAGGCATTTTATATGGGTAGAGTATTTAACACTTGCTAAACAATTTTAAACCTGTCGTCATGTAGCGCACTGCGAATGTGTTGCAAATTCTGTGTCGTTTGGAATACTTTGAGTAGTTCTCCGTGATAATTAAAAAAAGTAATTTAACTACCTATATGCTTTATACTTGACGTTTTAATTTTTTTATCTTTTTTTTAAAATACATGTTTCATCTTGATTGTAACATTCGATGTTTAAGGTAATGGCTCATTCGGTCCTGAATAAAAATCAGTGATAGATTCAGTACGTCACATAACCACATCAAAAATTTAATTTAAGGTAAAACATATATGCGATATTTCATTGATATTAATCATTATCAAAAGTGTTTCTTCGAAATTTTATATTTCACGTAGAAAGGTTTACCTTTTAAAGAATTACGATATATCTATATTTATAAACTCATATTTATCGCCATCACTATTTCACCGAATTTAAAATGATTATTTGAAAATATAGGTAGGTACTGGTAGCATGCCTGATATTCTTTTCTTTTACTCTTTCCCGGATATTCTGTCATCATGTACACTCAGTGCAAGGAACCACTACATTTATTTAACTTATATAATGTAATAACCATATTATATCTTTATAAGAATTCGCAGTATATTAAAATTCTTAGTGGAAGATATTTTAAAGTCATTCACGTACACGAGATCATAAATAGAGGACCGTTCGTGTATTCAAAAACGCTTCGATAAAGGCATTGTTCAGGTCGTATTGTTCGTTACAGCCGGTTATCTAAAGTGCTACAGTGAAGGCAAAATTACTGATGGAGTTTTGTTCACGTAGAATATTGGCATTCGTGCTCATATGATATGTGAAGATATTACACTAAATTATACTTTATAATAATATAGAAAATTTTATTATGAATATGATCAAAAATACGTTCATAATAATAAAACTTCTTTGTAATTTGATTATATTGGTTAAAGCAATGAAGCGCTTACCTCTTGCAAATCTTCTATGTCACCGGTTTCTTCCACTATATTCGTTAGCAGCATACTCGGACGCATAGACACTCTGTGCCGGATTGTTGATCGTCTTTTTGTGTCAATGATCGTACCCGTAAGATCATCGCTTAAAGTTGAAAATTGCTCATAAAAATTGATAACTCCAGATAATTCCCCATCAATATTTACAATTTCTTCTGGCTTTTTGCCTATTGAGTTTTTTTCCTCTAGCTTCCTATATCCTTCTGTTTCGTCGCGATTTTCTCTTATAACATTTATTGGGGCACTGTTGTATTCAAATTCTAAATCAAAGCCTCTATCCTCGAACAGTCTTTTGAATCTGGCCCAACAACCATATTTTTTTACCTTTTCCTCTTCTTTTTCGACTTCTATTGTCACCTTTGCTATATTCAAATCCATATTTCACAATTGCCTAATCTAATTAAATCCTAATGAATGGGAAATTCATATTTCAGTATCTTTCTGGTTTTTAAATGGCGTCATTAAGTATGATAAATTAAGCCAATTAAAATAATTACGGAGCCTAATTCCGATTATTTGATAGTATAACAACATTAGTTTTCGTAGATGAGAGCAACAGAGCAAACAGTGGTACGTAAAACTGGTAAAACCTTATTTATATATAATAATAATACATATTGAATAAACTTTTTTATTTAATCACTTATTCCTGCACTTCACATTCCTTTCTTTGAGAATTCACTTAAAACAGAATTACCCTCCTTCTGTAACGGTCAGGTAATAAAGATTTTAGTCACACAACGAAATTTCAGTGTGCTATTACGGTTTTATAGATACACCACTATTGGTCAAGCATTCTCAATAAACTAAAACAATTCCGTAAATAGTCTGATTACAGCGATAGTGATGATAAGTAATCGTAATTTTAAGGTTTTATCAATCAGTGTAGTGCTGATTATTGTAATAAATGTCAAGTTGATTGAATTATTTTGCACCTTGTTTGTCACGGAGTTAAGTAGTCTGCATTATAAAGCAGATACGAGTACTATCTCTTCACCTACGTAAGAGTATTTAGCTTTAGTGACTTTGTCAGGATATCCATTAAGTACATACATCACTCTATCACTAAGTCATTAGTTACTTACAAATATTGAGAGGCCAAGAATTATAAGTACCTATATATTACAAGCGGTATTGTCTATACTAATATTATAAAGAGGTAAAGTTTGTGAGTTTGTGACGTTGTAGGGAGTAATCTATGGATATACTGAACCTATTTAGATAAAATTTGGTAAGAAGATAATTTGAGACCCTGGGAAGGACATCATCATCATCCATATATGGGGTCAAAATGAGGATAAAAGTTTGTATGGGGAATCAACCTAGGGACGAACCCGAGCGAAGCGAGGGTGAGTCGCTAGTTTTACATAAATATACAAATAATAATAATAATTAATATTATCTTTATTGGAAGAGGACTATGTCTTATTATACATAATATGTTGTTCCACTGCAAGATTATTTACAAATAAATGTATACTAATTAAAACTGAGCTCTAACCAATAACGTCTATTTCTAGCAATACAAAGAGTTCCAAATTACGTTATTTCTAGCATGTATAAAGACATAGTATGTATGAAATGTATGTGGTATGTTTGTAGGAGAGTGTGTGTATGTGAATGCTAGTTACATTCTCTTTCATCGTATCTCATCTCACACATGGGTATAACTTTAGTAGGTAGATGTTATAAAATTATAATATTAATAAATGATAATAATTTATATCTAACTCTAAGTATATACTTAGATAATCGTAATATAATTAAACATAACACGTATAATAAACAATATAAACCATACACGTAAGTGTATTTATGTTATGAGATAATTTGATGTATTTAGAATATATGTAGGTACCTATTATATGCATTTTTAATAAGTAACATTTCTCATTATATTTAAACTTGTATGAAATAACGAGTAAAATAAATCAGCGGTAGGTACTCGGTTTTTGAAAAAACATATTATTTTCATCTTAATATGGATTCGTTTTAGTCCATTTATTTTTGCGCTATAAGTTCGATGAGGGCTTATCAATCTATACATATAATAAAACTGTAACTAAGTCGAATCTGTACATTAGATATTTTTTGGAAAACCTTATTGAAATAAACATTATCTATACTTATTATAAAAATAAGTCCCCCGGCCGCGTCTTTCTGTCCTCCTGTCTGTCTGTACGCGATAAACTCGCATTGCAGAAATCGCGAATTGCAGAAAATTGCTCTTTACACTAAATCAATCAGATGAATAGTTTTTGAGATATCGTTGTTAGAAGTAATTAGTAGCGAAACATTTTTAATGCTTGGCGAGCATTGAGATGCCTACGGCGAGTCCATCCCCTCTGCCCCGCATCGCTCGACCGCCTGCTCAAGCTATATAAACCGGGCGATGTAGCGCGCGATCCTAGGATACTTTTTACCGCGGGAAAATATCTTATTTCTGAGGAAAAATACAAAAACTGCAATGTAAGAGTATACTAATATGTAACACCTAAGAATTTAGTTTTTGGTCATCTGAACGCGGGCGGAGCCGCGGGCAATGCTAGTTATCGATAAATAAACATTATTATCGATACAGAGGCCGAATCTATAGTTTTTATTATTATTATTTTTTGTCTGTCTGTCTGTTACCGCATCACTGGAGGGATTTTGATGAAATTTGGTATGGTGATAGCTGGTTATCCGGGTCAATATATAGGATACTTTTTTACCGCGGGAAAATATTTTATTTCTGAGAAAAAATACAAAAACTGCATTGTAAGAGTATACTAATATGTAAAACTTAAGAATTTGGTTTTTGGTCATCTGAACGCGGGCGGAGCCGCGGACAATACTAGTATATTATATACCTACATATACTTATTTCTGGTTAAGTTTAGAATAAATAATGATATAACTAAGTATATCAAAAAATACTATGAATAGTAGAAGAATTATATTTAAGTTGGTACACTTGTACTTACGGCGACGTCAACTAATGGCTCGTCTTCTGGCGTGAGAGCAAGCGAGGAGCGCCTGCCAGCGCGTGCGCCTGGTGACCCGCTGGAACTGCCTGTGAAAACAAAATATATAATAAATAAATTATAAAATATTACGAACTATATTTTAAAATTTATTAGAAACGTCAGACAGACATTCACGATGTCTTAATTTTAATAAAATTATATACAAGCTACCATTTTTCCTCGTGGTTTTTATCAATTATAGCCTTTGTAATAATCTGATGAATAGCTATATAATGTAAAGTTTCATCAAAATCTGTTCAATAGATTTTACGCGATTGCTCTAACATACATACATACATCCTCTCATAACTTTTATAATATTAGTACGATTTATGACCTTTGAGATCATATAAAATTGTATAAAAAAAAACACTTTCAGTTTCTCCTGGATTTCCAACTTTTCTGGCCATTTTTCCATAAATGTTTTCGCTAAAAACTTTATTCAGGCTACTACGAACATTTAAAATAGCCAAATCCTTCCAGTCTTTCTCAAGTAAAGTGCTTATATATATACCAACGAACATTTTTATTGTGAAATAATATAATATAAATATATTACACAGTGTAGCATAACATAAAATACATTCACTTAGTATACTTTAGTATTTATTCTCATCATTTAAACTTAAAATATTTTACTGTTACATGTAAATAGTTGTTTAACACGACTGATATGAATGATTGAGCTAATAATGCGTTGTTCGACTTTACTTTTAGGTCGAACGTATTTCTTCACCTACACAAAATTAAGTATCACTAAATTCAATTTTAATATATGACTTTTTTCATAATATTATTACTTCTCGATACTAAAATATAAATCAAGATCTTGTTTATGCAAAAAGGATTACGCAAGTAATATTATTGAGCAGTAATCAAAAATGAAAGGTATTTTTAGGTGTTAGAGCTTAAAGCTTTGATTTTATTACTAAATTAGTTAAAGGAATCACATTGAAATTCGTTTTGCTGCTTGTATTTGTGCCGATACTTGTTTTAAGTCTTGTATGTAGTAATATTAGATATATGTATAAGTCGCGAGGCCACCCAGTGCTTAAGTATCGTATTGAGAGCTCAGCACTTGCAAAACACTAATGAATGTAATTTACACATGCTTACTATCATTTTTATTTTATAAAACTAACATCTTTTTACACCATACGTCTTTTGCTAAATGATAAATATATCATTTAAAATAATTAATGTTAATATTGTAATATTTAAATGTACTCGTAGTCTAGTCTCTATTATTATGATTTATGTAAATTTTTTTATAAATAATTATAAAATCTAACTTTTTTTTACTTATTTTTCGAGTACCTATATTTATCTACGTACACTAATATTACAAAGAAAAAAAAATGTATGTTTGTTTGTAATCGATAAACGAAAAATTCTGAACCGATTTAGACGAAATTTGGTACGAAGATAGTTTGAGATCCTGAGAAGGACGTAGAATAGTTTTTATCCCGGAAATCATCTCTTAAGGGGGTGAAAAGCGGGATGAAAGTTCGTATGGGGAAGTAATAATTTTTCAAGTATGCAGTATATAAAACTCATACCTATATATACTAATATAGAGTCTATTATTCCATACAAACCGTTAAAACTATACCATATATGCTTGGGTACCATATAGGCTTGATACATTTAAAATATGACATAAGTAATATAAATCAGCATTAGAATTGATTGATTATCATCATAATCTTTCCGAACTGGTAGTAGGTACACTCATGACGTTCAGTAAAAAATTGTAATAATTTAATGCTGAATAAAATATTTTGAATTTGAATCAGGTACTTTGCTACATTTATTTCATTAAATCTTTTCGCTGTGTAAAGAATATTAAAAAAGATATTATAAAAACTTTAGAGCATGACACGTAATTAGTGGATAACCGCTGACGCTATGAAAAGCGAAAACCTAAACCATTATCTTTACTATTCACCGCCTACACATAAAATGTATATAACATTGCTGTGGAATACTCCAATCGCCTAAGTTATTTCCAAGAAATAATAATCCACTTCAGCAGTTATTCAAATAAATACTTATTAAATATTTAAAAGATTAAATAGTCATTACTTGTTTCGTTTATTTCATTGCTATTAAAACAAAAGCAAATAATAAACACGTTTTTACAGTTAAATAATTATTATAAATGTAAATTTTCTTCTTTGCGATAAATTAGTTTAGGTAAATAGAACATCGTGAAATCCAATTACGCTAAACACTGCGCAAATCTTAATATTGAGATATATTCAAGTAGAATTTTTAATAACTTTCTGCTTTATTTTGTTTAAAAATAATATACGAGTATGTAACATCGTGTGTGCATTTATAATAATTAGATATGTATAGGTGTAGAAC